AAAAAAATCTTTATTTAACGATTTTAGAAAAACTTGTTCGGTTAGCTTATTGGTTATTTTTGGGACGGGATAATAAATTTGTGGTGTTTCCGGTAGTTTTAATTACTATTAGGCAAAATGTGCATTTTGCTGAAGTAGCTTTCACCTCCGTCTAAAACTCTTTTGCCGAACACATTTTCACAATTTGTCTTCTCACTTTCTGGCTTAAGAGTGACCAAACATAAAATATCGGAATTATCTCAAAATACTCAAAAATATCAATATCGACAATATCAAAGAAAAATATATCGATATATTGATATTAGAGGTGCAAAAACATCGATGTATGGAGACATCGATGTTTTTCGATGTTTTTGCCAAAACATCGATAAAACATCGACAAAACATTTAAAAAAAAAAAAATAATAATTTTTTAATAAGTTAAATAGATAAATACCAATACGGATTTAATAAAATTTTAAAATTCAAAATTAAAATTTAAAAAAAAAATTAAAAATTAAAATTAAATTTAAAATTTAAAATTTACGTACCTCTTCTTTGCTTGTTCTCTTGATAGTGCCGGCACAAAAACATCGATGGTCAAAAAAAAACATCGATGTTTTGGAAAATTCAGATGTTTACATCGATGTTTCTTGCACCTCTAATTGATATACGGAGAAGGTACTAGGAATGTATTGGCAGCCGGCTACAGATGACTTCAAGTTCGGCGTCAACTATCATCGAGTCCCGTGATGACAGGGGAACGCGTCCCTACCAAGAGGGAGTTCCTAAGCCTGGTTATGTCCACGTTTGACCCGATTGGACTCCTGAGCTGCTACATGGTGATTGCCAAATTGTTAATGAGAGAGATTAGGTGGAGAGGAGACAACTGGGAAGAGCCGCTACCAGAAAATTTGGTCGCAGCCTTTGAGGACTGACGGCAAGAAATGAGCAAAATCGAAGAGTTCCGATGTCCACGCTATTACTTCGGCGGTGGATTCGTGCGTACTAAAACTTAAAGTAAAAACCTAAAACTTTAAGTAAATATGGTTCCATTAGTTATGAAATTTAATTTAAACTAGAGGTCTGCATAAATATCTAAAAAACGACATTCAAATTTATTATCCATTGGCGCAACCTATTTCCTCTATCTATTATCTAACTATTTCTAAACTAACTATTATCCATTTTAGCTATGGATAAACATAATTTGAAAATATATGCAAATCTCCCTGAGTGAACCAACTCATAGATAGAGAATGAGAGAAGAAAGAAATAGAAACAGAACAAAAAAACCGCGTAAAAATGGTAACCGCTAACTAAATGACTAATGACTAGATTTGCAATAATTGATACACATAGTGTTATCGCAATCGCAATCGCGTTAAAGTGAAACAATCCGTGTAGCCTGTGTAGCCTTTGAGAACATTTTTTGAAGAGAAAAAAAAGGTTCTCAAAGGCTGTGTAGCGCGAAGTTGAAAAACGTTAAAAAATTGAACAGTGTTGTGAAATTTTGGTTGGTTTTTGTACTCAAGATTTTGATTAAAAAGATGAGTAATTTTCATCAATTTCAGAGTTGATCAATTTCAATTTTAAAATTGAAATACCTATTCAATTCAATTTTATGTGAAAAAAAAATTCTGGGTTAAATTTATTTTTTAAAGAGAAAAAATGGAGTGAAAGAGCGCGCCATCGCACTCGGCCTTCATTCATTCTATTCCATTCGGATGTATTCAATGGGTGAGGCAATATGAATGTATTCCTGCAGACCTCTAATTTAAACCTCTAACAGCGTCGTCTTTTTGGTTGCTCTCAAACTTCGAGGAGCGCTGCATGGGAGAACTCATAAACACCTAAAACAGGTATTGTTTTTTCGAAAAGGGGCAAAAACGGGCAAATACCATTACTTTAAATTGATTTAATAGTAATTTGTTTAAAACGTTTCATTTTTACCTTTAAGGCGCTGGAGGCACTTAAAAGAAACCCTTAACAGACCACATTTACTTTTGTCAGAATAGCCTAGAACAGTGGTGCCCAAGCTCTACATACGGGAAAGCAAACTTCCATACTAATGCAAACAAGAAAGAAAAGCTAACTTCGGGCGGAGCCGAAATTGATATACCCTTGAAGTTAAAGCCGGATATATATTGCAAACATCGGATATAGTTGGCCGATCCTTATGAGAATATCATATTAAAACCAATTAACTAAAATAAAATATCTAAAAATAAGTCCCAAGCTTCTATCTTAAAATATACCAAAGTTGGTATTTCTACTAAAAACCATTTCCGATAGTTCAGTTATATGGCATCTATAAGATATAGTCGACCGATCGTTATGAAATTTGGATTAACTGACCAAATATATAATCTGTACTAAGTTCCAGCTTTCTATCTTAAAAACAAGAAAGTTGGGTCATTTTCGATCGTTCGGTTATATGGCAGCTATAGGATATAGTCGGCCGATCCTTATGAAATTTGGTACGTTGGATCAACTGACCAAAAATAGAATCTGTATTAAATTTCAGCTTTCTATCTTAAAAAAAACGAAAGTTGGGTCATTTCCGATCGTTCAGTTATATGGCAGCTATAGGATATAGTCGGCCGATCCTAATGAAATTTGGTAGGTTGGATCAACTGACCAAAAATAGAATCTGTATTAAATTTCAGCTTTCTATCTTCAAAAAACGAAAGTTGGGTCATTTCCGATCGTTCAGTTATATGGCAGCTATAGGATATAGTCGGCCGATCCTAATGAAATTTGGTACGTTGGATCAACTGACCAAAAATAGAATCTGTATTAAATTTCAGCTTTCTATCTTCAAAAAAACGAAAGTTGGGTCATTTCCGATCGTTCAGTTATATGGCAGCTATAGGATATAGTCGGCCGATCCTAATGAAATTTGGTACGTTGGATCAACTGACCAAAAATAGAATCTGTATTAAATTTCAGCTTTCTATCTTCAAAAAAACGAAAGTTGGGTCATTTCCGATCGTTCAGTTATATGGCAGCTATAGGATATAGTCGGCTGATCCTTATGAAATTTGGCATGTCGTATTATTTTGCCAAAAGTAGCTCTCATGTATAATTTCAACTCTCTTACTCTAAAACCATCAATTTTATTTCCGATCAATCAGTCATATGGCAGCTATAGGATATAGTTGGCTGATCCGGGCCGTTCCGACTTATTTACTGCGTGCAAAGGAAAGAAGGGTGTGTGCAAAGTTTCAAGTCGATAGCTTTAAAACTGAGAGACTAGTTCGCGTAGAAACAGACAGACGGACAGATGGACCGACGGACAGACGGACATGCTCATATCAACTCAGGAGGTGATCCTGATCAAGAATATATATACTTTATAGGGTCGGATATGTCTCCGTTGCACACTTTTGGACAAAATTATAATGCCCTCTGCAAGGGTATAAAAATCATCAATACGAGAATAGCGAGAATTTTTTTCCCATACATGTGGGTCCACTAAAAAATAAAATTATAGTAACATTCACAAGGGGTTTAAAAAATATTAATATAATAAAAAATACATTTTATTACAGCAATTATAAAAAGGCACTACATTTTTTACAACAGCTTATTATTATACTATGACAAATGCAGAGCAGAGCTTCTAACTTAAAAATGTTCAAGAATTTCAAGAATGAACAAAATGCATTCGGATTAGCACAATTGAGGATAATAGGGAAAACACGAACAATTGTTATTGTAATTGCCCTTTGCCTATGCTGGGACCAACGAAGCTTATGGCGTGAGCAACGGAACCTTATGGCGTGAGCAACAGAACCTTATGGCGTGAGCAGTCGCACACAACTCCGTATGCATGACCATTTGCAAAAACAAATGAGCAGCGAGAGCAATGGGATGAGCAACACTGGCCTAGAAAAACACGTTTGCAATACATTGGATAAAACAACAGAACATATGTATGTATATAACTATAGAAAAACGTTTAAAATTATAAATTTAGATACCTTGAACTTTATTTTCTCTAAAGACACTTTTAGCTTTTAATGTTCGCTTCAATTGACTCACTAGCTGCAAGATGTGAACATTTTTCCGCGTTTTTAGGCATAAACCAAACGACACTGAACAGCTGACTTTAAAAGCGCCTGGAAAATCTTTCCAAAAATTTTTTATATTGTTCAGTATTAAACATACCGGAAAAAATAAGCAAAATTAAGTTATTTCTGAAAAAATTGTATAATTTATGCCAATAATTTGGGCTTTCGGACCATAGTGCACTGTGCCCTTAACTTTGAACCATCATTTTATGGGTCTTATATTCAGTTATGTTACTTGTAGCATTTACTAAGTTTTAATAGTTTATAGTAGTTATATAGTTTATATAGTTATGCCTTTATTATGTACCCACATTCTAGGAAAGTTTAAATAAAACAAACAAATGTATTCAATAAGTTTTCTGTCTTGAAATATTTTTGTATATTACGATTTTTCACATTGCAGAGCTTCCCGCGTTCAATTTTAAGAATATTTCCTTTTTTCCCTAAATATATAAATTAAACTTAAATCTTATAAATTAGGAAATTTTATCAAGAAAAAGGAGTCAAATTTCAATGATTTGTGAATAATAGTCGTAGTGGGGCAATTCTTTGACCTAGGAACTTTAGAAAAAAAAATGTTTAGAATTTAGAAAAATATACAAAAATAATATATAGCAAGATATTTAATATCTAAAAATATTAAATTTCGTAAAAATTTTAATAGTAACTGCATTTTTTTTGTCCAAATTAAAATGTGCTGAAGTGGTGAAAATATTTTTTGTACTGTATGTACAAATACTATATATGCGCAACTCTATATATATTCCATCGGACTTATGTATATCAAAACATAAACAATTCAATTTCACTGTCTATCAACTTCGTCTCCGCTCAAATTAAGCTTTCCCTTCTTGTATGATATACAACCAGCCAAATTTATTTTTCAAAAAATTTACCGTCCGCCACGCCACTTTTATACCAAACTAAGCTATTAAAAACTATGCATTCCCCTTAGTTCAAATTCTCCGATTTAAGAAAACAATTTATTAAATACGCATTATAAGTTAAATTAACAAGAATTGTTAGCCTCAAGAGGCATCATTTCCTTTAACCTGTTTAATATATTTAAATGCATAAAAGCGGATCCTTTCATAACGCCACTCAATTATATCATTTTTTCCATTCCGGATTCTCCCTTTTTAATTCCCACAGAAAATAATTTTGAAATTATAAGAACAATATCATATGGATCGGAAACATATTTTTCCGAATTTTTTTCATCGGGAAGGGAGTATTTTTTTTCTGTGCATGTAACACAAATCGAATCTTTATATTTGGAAGTTCTGTGACTTAAACATCCTTTATGAAAGGAATGTTGGCAAAGAAAATATACAGTCTGAGAACCTAAGGATTCACCACAGATATCACATGTATCATTTCGAAATTCAATTGGATTGAGCGTAAAGAACAAAAGGTTGTACCTTTTGCATTTAATATTTGTATTAAAGAATTTTATTACATCTTTTTCATTTGTTGAGTCGACTTTAGCACGCACGACCTTTTCTGTAACAATAGGTTTAATCTTTAGTACTAAATTTGATCCGTTTGTACAAGAATTTTTAAATGTCATTAGAAATGATTTATTTAAGTTTGTTGTCAATTCGCAACTTCTTTTTTTAATACTGTTTGAAACTACTGCAGATTTCCTGTTTTCGGATGAGTTGGGACTGCCTTTAAGTATATCTACATGACATTTAAAATAAGGATTTTTGAAGTCTTCACTTTCATACTTAATATTATTTTGATTTGATGGATTAAAATACATTTTTGATAAATCGGAAATTTTTTCAAATCCTTGACAGGGTTTACAGTGCACAGACTCGAATAAAAGCTTCATTTTATCGATTTCATTGCTCAAATGTCTACGATTAATACAAAATTCAATTAGATTTCGTATGTTGTTGGAAGGTTCCACCTTTTCCACTGCAGTTAAATAGTATTTAAGATTCTCATTGTACCTCATATAAAGAAGTTTCGAAATCACAGAAAATGGTTTAATAATTCCAATGGTTTTAATATATTCGATTACTGCGCTTTCGACGTCTCCTTTTAACAACAAATAATTTCCATAAAGAAAGCGTATATAAGCAGTATCAAATGAGTGGGCGTAATCATCGTAGTTTAATGATCTCAACGCAATTTCATACATGTTTTTTTCAATAAGTAGACGAATTTTCTTACTTGTTTCATACTGTTTTAACTTGTTTAAAATCAGTCCATTTTTGTTTTCTGTATTAAATAGAATCTGTATTAAATTTCAGCTTTCTATCTTCAAAAAAACGAAAGTTGGGTCATTTCCGATCGTTCAGTTATATGGCAGCTATAGGATATAGTCGGCCGATCCTAATGAAATTTGGTACGTTGGATCAACTGACCAAAAATAGAATCTGTATTAAATTTCAGCTTTCTATCTTCAAAAAAACGAAAGTTGGGTCATTTCCGATCGTTCAGTTATATGGCAGCTATAGGATATAGTCGGCTGATCCTTATGAAATTTGGCATGTCGTATTATTTTGCCAAAAGTAGCTCTCATGTATAATTTCAACTCTCTTACTCTAAAACCATCAATTTTATTTCCGATCAATCAGTCATATGGCAGCTATAGGATATAGTTGGCTGATCCGGGCCGTTCCGACTTATTTACTGCGTGCAAAGGAAAGAAGGGTGTGTGCAAAGTTTCAAGTCGATAGCTTTAAAACTGAGAGACTAGTTCGCGTAGAAACAGATAGACGGACAGATGGACCGACGGACAGACGGACATGCTCATATCAACTCAGGAGGTGATCCTGATCAAGAATATATATACTTTATAGGGTCGGAGATGTCTCCGTTGCACACTTTTGGACAAAATTATAATACCCTCTGCAAGGGTATAAAAATCATCAATACGAGAATAGCGAGAATTTTTTTCCCATCCATGTGGGTCCACTGAAAAATAAAATTATAGTAACATTCACAAGGGGTTTAAAAAATATTAATATAATAAAAAATACATTTTATTACAGCAATTATAAAAAGGCACTACATTTTTTACAACAGCTTATTATTATACTATGACAAATGCAGAGCAGAGCTTCTAACTTAAAAATAAATTTCAAGAATTTCAAGAATGAACAAAATGCATTCGGATTAGCACAATTGAGGATAATAGGGAAAACACGAACAATTGTTATTGTAATTGCCCTTTGCCTATGCTGGGACCAACGAAGCTTATGGCGTGAGCAACGGAACCTTATGGCGTGAGCAACAGAACCTTATGGCGTGAGCAGTCGCACACAACTCCGTATGCATGACCATTTGCAAAAACAAATGAGTAGCGAGAGCAATGGGATGAGCAACACTGGCCTAGAAAAACACGTTTGCAATACATTGGATAAAACAACAGAACATATGTATGTATATAACTATAGAAAAACGTTTAAAATTATAAATTTAGATACCTTGAACTTTATTTTCTCTAAAGACACTTTTAGCTTTTAATGTTCGCTTCAATTGACTCACTAGCTGCAAGATGTGAACATTTTTCCGCGTTTTTAGGCATAAACCAAACGACACTGAACAGCTGACTTTAAAAGCGCCTGGAAAATCTTTCCAAAATTTTTTATATTGTTCAGTATTAAACATACCGGAAAAAATAAGCAAAATTAAGTTATTTCTGAAAAAATTGTATAATTTATGCCAATAATTTGGGCTTTCGGACCATAGTGCACTGTGCCCTTAACTTTGAACCATCATTTTATGGGTCTTATATTCAGTTATGTTACTTGTAGCATTTACTAAGTTTTAATAGTTTATAGTAGTTATATAGTTTATATAGTTATGCCTTTATTATGTACCCACATTCTAGGAAAGTTTAAATAAAACAAACAAATGTATTCAATAAGTTTTCTGTCTTGAAATATTTTTGTATATTACGATTTTTCACATTGCAGAGCTTCCCGCGTTCAATTTTAAGAATATTTCCTTTTTTCCCTAAATATATAAATTAAACTTAAATCTTATAAATTAGGAAATTTTATCAAGAAAAAGGAGTCAAATTTCAATGATTTGTGAATAATAGTCGTAGTGGGGCAATTCTTTGACCTAGGAACTTTAGAAAAAAAAATGTTTAGAATTTAGAAAAATATACAAAAATAATATATATAATATATAATATCTAAAAATATTAAATTTCGTAAAAATTTTAATAGTAACTGCATTTTTTTTGTCCAAATTAAAATGTGCTGAAGTGGTGAAAATATTTTTTGTACTGTATGTACAAATACTATATATGCGCAACTCTATATATATTCCATCGGACTTATGTATATCAAAACATAAACAATTCAATTTCACTGTCTATCAACTTCGTCTCCGCTCAAATTAAGCTTTCCCTTCTTGTATGATATACAACCAGCCAAATTTATTTTTCAAAAAATTTACCGTCCGCCACGCCACTTTTATACCAAACTAAGCTATTAAAAACTATGCATTCCCCTTAGTTCAAATTCTCCGATTTAAGAAAACAATTTATTAAATACGCATTATAAGTTAAATTAACAAGAATTGTTAGCCTCAAGAGGCATCATTTCCTTTAACCTGTTTAATATATTTAAATGCATAAAAGCGGATCCTTTCATAACGCCACTCAATTATATCATTTTTTCCATTCCGGATTCTCCCTTTTTAATTCCCACAGAAAATAATTTTGAAATTATAAGAACAATATCATATGGATCGGAAACATATTTTTCCGAATTTTTTTCATCGGGAAGGGAGTATTTTTTTTCTGTGCATGTAACACAAATCGAATCTTTATATTTGGAAGTTCTGTGACTTAAACATCCTTTATGAAAGGAATGTTGGCAAAGAAAATATACAGTCTGAGAACCTAAGGATTCACCACAGATATCACATGTATCATTTCGAAATTCAATTGGATTGAGCGTAAAGAACAAAAGGTTGTACCTTTTGCATTTAATATTTGTATTAAAGAATTTTATTACATCTTTTTCATTTGTTGAGTCGACTTCAGCACGCACGACCTTTTCTGTAACAATAGGTTTAATCTTTAGTACTAAATTTGATCCGTTTGTACAAGAATTTTTAAATGTCATTAGAAATGATTTATTTAAGTTTGTTGTCAATTCGCAACTTCTTTTTTTAATACTGTTTGAAACTACTGCAGATTTCCTGTTTTCGGATGAGTTGGGACTGCCTTTAAGTATATCTACATGACATTTAAAATAAGGATTTTTGAAGTCTTCACTTTCATACTTAATATTATTTTGATTTGATGGATTAAAATACATTTTTGATAAATCGGAAATTTTTTCAAATCCTTGACAGGGTTTACAGTGCACAGACTCGAATAAAAGCTTCATTTTATCGATTTCATTGCTCAAATGTCTACGATTAATACAAAATTCAATTAGATTTCGTATGTTGTTGGAAGGTTCCACCTTTTCCACTGCAGTTAAATAGTATTTAAGATTCTCATTGTACCTCATATAAAGAAGTTTCGAAATCACAGAAAATGGTTTAATAATTCCAATGGTTTTAATATATTCGATTACTGCGCTTTCGACGTCTCCTTTTAACAACAAATAATTTCCATAAAGAAAGCGTATATAAGCAGTATCAAATGAGTGGGCGTAATCATCGTAGTTTAATGATCTCAACGCAATTTCATACATGTTTTTTTCAATAAGTAGACGAATTTTCTTACTTGTTTCATACTGTTTTAACTTGTTTAAAATCAGTCCATTTTTGTTTTCTGTATTAAATAGAATCTGTATTAAATTTCAGCTTTCTATCTTAAAAAAAACGAAAGTTGGGTCATTTCCGATCGTTCAGTTATATGGCAGCTATAGGATATAGTCGGCCGATCCTAATGAAATTTGGTACGTTGGATCAACTGACCAAAAATAGAATCTGTATTAAATTTCAGCTTTCTATCTTAAAAAAAACGAAAGTTGGGTCATTTCCGATCGTTCAGTTATATGGCAGCTATAGGATATAGTCGGCCGATCCTAATGAAATTTGGTACGTTGGATCAACTGACCAAAAATAGAATCTGTATTAAATTTCAGCTTTCTATCTTCAAAAAAACGAAAGTTGGGTAATTTCCGATCGTTCACTTATATGGCAGCTATAGGATATAGTCGGCCGATCCTAATGAAATTTGGTACGTTGGATCAACTGACCAAAAATAGAATCTGTATTAAATTTCAGCTTTCTATCTTCAAAAAAACGAAAGTTGGGTAATTTCCGATCGTTCAGTTATATGGCAGCTATAGGATATAGTCGGCTGATCCTTATGAAATTTGGCATGTCGTATTATTTTGCCAAAAGTAGCTCTCATGTATAATTTCAACTCTCTTACTCTAAAACCATCAATTTTATTTCCGATCAATCAGTCATATGACAGCTATAGGATATAGTTGGCTGATCCGGGCCGTTCCGACTTATTTACTGCGTGCAAAGGAAAGAAGGGTGTGTGCAAAGTTTCAAGTCGATAGCTTTAAAACTGAGAGACTAGTTCGCGTAGAAACAGACAGACGGACAGATGGACCGACGGACAGACGGACATGCTCATATCAACTCAGGAGGTGATCCTGATCAAGAATATATATACTTTATAGGGTCGGAGATGTCTCCGTTGCACACTTTTGGACAAAATTATAATACCCTCTGCAAGGGTATAAAAATCATCAATACGAGAATAGCGAGAATTTTTTTCCCATCCATGTGGGTCCACTGAAAAATAAAATTATAGTAACATTCACAAGGGGTTTAAAAATATTAATATAATAAAAATACATTTTATTACAGCAATTATAAAAAGGCACTACATTTTTTACAACAGCTTATTATTATACTATGACAAATGCAGAGCAGAGCTTCTAACTTAAAAATAATGTTCAAGAATTTCAAGAATGAACAAAATGCATTCGGATTAGCACAATTGAGGATAATAGGGAAAACACGAACAATTGTTATTGTAATTGCCCTTTGCCTATGCTGGGACCAACGAAGCTTATGGCGTGAGCAACGGAACCTTATGGCGTGAGCAACAGAACCTTATGGCGTGAGCAGTCGCACACAACTCCGTATGCATGACCAATTGCAAAAACAAATGAGCAGCGAGAGCAATGGGATGAGCAACACTGGCCTAGAAAAACACGTTTGCAATCCATTGGATAAAACAACAGAACATATGTATGTATATAACTATAGAAAAACGTTTAAAATTATAAATTTAGATACCTTGAACTTTATTTTCTCTAAAGACACTTTTAGCTTTTAATGTTCGCTTCAATTGACTCACTAGCTGCAAGATGTGAACATTTTTCCGCGTTTTTAGGCATAAACCAAACGACACTGAACAGCTGACTTTAAAAGCGCCTGGAAAATCTTTCCAAAAATTTTTTATATTGTTCAGTATTAAACATACAGGAAAAAATAAGCAAAATTAAGTTATTTCTGAAAAAATTGTATAATTTATGCCAATAATTTGGGCTTTCGGACCATAGTGCACTGTGCCCTTAACTTTGAACCATCATTTTATGGGTCTTATATTTAGTTATGTTACTTGTAGCATTTACTAAGTTTTAATAGTTTATAGTAGTTGTATAGTTTATATAGTTATGCCTTTATTATGTACCCACATTCTAGGAAAGTTTAAATAAAACAAACAAATGTATTCAATAAGTTTTCTGTCTTGAAATATTTTTGTATATTACGATTTTTCACATTGCAGAGCTTCCCGCGTTCAATTTTAAAAATATTTCCTTTTTTCCCTAAATATATAAATTAAACTTAAATCTTATAAATTAGTAAATTTTATCAAGAAAGAGGAGTCAAATTTCAATGATATGTGAATAATAGTCGTAGTGGGGCAATTCTTTGACCTAGGAACTTTAGAAAAAAAAATGTTTAGAATTTAGAAAAATATTCAAAAATAATATATAGCAAGATATTTAATATCTAAAAATATTAAATTTCATAAAAATTTTAATAGTAACTGCATTTTTTTTTCCAAATTAAAATGTGCTGAAGTGGTGAAAATATTTTTTGTACTGCATGTACAAATACTATATATGCGCAACTCTATATATATTCCATCGGACTTATGTATATCAAAACATAAACAATTCAATTTCACTGTCTATCAACTTCGTCTCCGCTCAAATTAAGCTTTCCCTTCTTGAATGATATACAACCAGCCAAATTTATTTTTCAAAAAATTTACCGTCCGCCACGCCACTTTTATACCAAACTAAGCTATTAAAAACTATGCATTCCCCTTAGTTCAAATTCTGATTTAAGAAAATAATTTATTAAATACGCATTATAAGTTAAATTAACAAGAATTGTTAGCCTCAAGAGGCATCATTTCCTTTAACCTGTTTAATATATTTAAATGCATAAAAGCGGATCCTTTCATAACGCCACTCAATTATATCATTTTTCCATTACGGATTCTCCCTTTTTAATTCCCACAGAAAATAATTTTGAAATTATAAGAACAATATCATATGGATCGGAAACATATTTTTCCGAATTTTTTTCATCGGGAAGGGAGTATTTTTTTTCTGTGCATATAACACAAATCGAATCTTTATATTTGGAAGTTCTGTGACTTAAACATCCTTTATGAAAGGAATGTTGGCAAAGAAAATATACAGTCTGAGAACCTAAGGATTCACCACAGATATCACATGTATCATTTCGAAATTCAATTGGATTGAGCGTAAAGAACAAAAGGTTGTACCTTTTGCATTTAATATTTGTATTAAAGAATTTTATTACATCTTTTTCATTTGTTGAGTCGACTTCAGCACGCACGACCTTTTCTGTAACAATAGGTTTAATCTTTAGTACTAAATTTGATCCGTTTGTACAAGAATTTTTAAATGTCATTAGAAATGATTTATTTAAGTTTGTTGTCAATTCGCAACTTCTTTTTTTAATACTGTTTGAAACTACTGCAGATTTCCTGTTTTCGGATGAGTTGGGACTGCCTTTAAGTATATCTACATGACATTTAAAATAAGGATTTTTGAAGTCTTCACTTTCATACTTAATATTATTTTGATTTGATGGATTAAAATACATTTTTGATAAATCGGAAATTTTTTCAAATCCTTGACAGGGTTTACAGTGCACAGACTCGAATAAAAGCTTCATTTTATCGATTTCATTGCTCAAATGTCTACGATTAATACAAAATTCAATTAGATTTCGTATGTTGTTGGAAGGTTCCACCTTTTCCACTGCAGTTAAATAGTATTTAAGATTCTCATTGTACCTCATATAAAGAAGTTTCGAAATCACAGAAAATGGTTTAATAATTCCAATGGTTTTAATATATTCGATTACTGCGCTTTCGACGTCTCCTTTTAACAACAAATAATTTCCATAAAGAAAGCGTATATAAGCAGTATCAAATGAGTGGGCGTAATCATCGTAGTTTAATGATCTCAACGCAATTTCATACATGTTTTTTTCAATAAGTAGACGAATTTTCTTACTTGTTTCATACTGTTTTAACTTGTTTAAAATCAGTCCATTTTTGTTTTCAGATTTAGTTAGGTAGAAAAATTCAATTCCACTTATGGCACATACAAAATTTTCGACTTGCTTGAAAAAAACAACAATTTTATTATAGGTATCCACAACTATTAAAATAGTAATTTGATTTCGATTTGGAAACTGTGTCGAATTAATGGAGACGAAAAGATACTGGCCTACCCAGGAAATAAATTTCTTTCTTCCCTCAATTGCAAAACAAGGACCCCTGCCATCGCGGGTGTAGCAATATACAGCATCATCGCGGCCCACTACAAACATCGATTCCTCGTTTTTCCCATCTTCAGTTTTTCGGATTGTGCAGAAATCGTTATAATGGCCTTCATCATTCTCATTTCGAAAATTAGTTACTATTTCCGAGTTATCCTTTAAAAGAAAGCTTATTACTCCTTTAGAGCATGATGCATACATGTTACAACTTTGGGTATTCGAACCATGCGTGCTGAAGTCAAAGTACACTCCATTTATAGGGTTCTTACTGATTGAATACTTTTGAATATTTAAAGACATAGATGGGATAATTTTTCCGTAATGTAGTAAGATATCGCCATTTTCCAAGCCGAGTCCTAAAGCAAGGAAATCATCGTCGATAGTTTCTAAGTTAATGCAACTGGCTTTACTTGTGACATCGACGTAAGCAGATGCAAATAAAGGTGCTCCATGACTTTTAGTCAGTTTTCGTAAATCGTATAGATCAATGTATATTCCCGAATAAGTATCCTCAGTGACTATTGCCAGCAAGTTGGATGAAGTAAGAGCACAAAAGCTGGCGGCGTTTTGACTTTGTTTTCCTTTGAATTCAATAAAATCCAATTTAGAGGAAACAAATGTTGAACCATTTTTATCACAAAACACAGCTGTAACTTTACTCTCCTCGTTTTGTTTTATTACATTGCAACAATAGCAGGCAATGTCAGAATCAGTGGGAAATTTTATGGACGATAATTCCATCTCATCAAAGAAATTCAATCGTTTCCATTCTGACACAATCATTTCCATTATTTAATTGATTGTGATTTTTGATTGTGAAATTGATAGATGGTTGTGTTTTAAAATTTATAAATGAAACCAATTATTTATTGCCAAAATTGCGACGCTTATCTTGTCTGAAAAGTGGAACGATCGGAATTTGAGTTTAGGTAGAGAAATACATTGTTTTTAATATTCAACGCTTTCCAAAAAAAATCATTTCAGATAAATATCCTTAATGTACTGTCCAATTCATTCCAAGGGATAACTAATTTTTCAAGCCTTTTACTCAGATGAAAATTTTTCTAGTGATTGATAGGCGAAAAACATTTTGATGGCAATTTTTTTTGGCAGGATATTGCGCCAATTTAAACGAAAATCATTTTAAAGTAATATTTACACACCCTAATAAATTAAAAATAAAAAAAAGGGCGGCTTGATATAAATAAGATATATTTAAAATATTTGTTCACAACATTTTATTTTTTAAAGTTCAAACTCGATATAAAATATCCGTAGGAGATCGACAGTTAGTACTTAGATTGACAGAAACTGTTTAGTGAGTGAGAGACAAATAGGTGAAAATACGTCTTTTTCAGGGTCCTTTCGTAACTCACTCCCGCGCGCTTATCAAAGACAGCCACTCCAATAGCAAATAAAATTAAATTAAAAATCCCTTGAAATGGGATATAACTTGAGTCCAGAGTACTCCATCAATGAAATAAATTATTTGTTTAGGAAAATTTTATTGTTGTCTACTGAGTGTAGGAAAAAACACTCATTACTTGCACTTTAACACTTGCACTCAAGTGCACTTTTATGCAATTTTGAAGAAATATATATATGTCGAAACCTTTGATGCGAATCTGTTATGATACTAATGAAAAACTTATCTCTGTAACCAATTTTGGTGCTGCATTGGTTCTCTATGGCAAAGTAAACCTATTTTGAAGACCTTACTCGTGCATTTTTGCTTAATAAACATACAAAATTTTAAAAAAAATTATCTAGTAACTTTTTTTTTTAATATTTCGATAAAAACAAGATTTTTGATTGTTAAAAGATAGAAATTTTTTATTTTTGTATAATTTTGGGTAATATTACTTAATTAAAAAGACGCCGATCTAAATCCCGGGAGTGCCCTCTAACACTCATCGAAAGAGAAAATATCAGATCTTGTAGCGTAACCAAAATTATATATAAGTATAGTATAAGATAAGTTTCGTTTTTACTCTCGGCGTGGTATGGCCGGATAGCAAATAAACACCTAGTATCCTCGACACAGGGGCTCGACGTGCTCACACCATTTCTCCCTACGTACAAGAGTAGGGAAATACTCATGCACCCATCGCTTCCAGTAGCGGTCTATAGTCATTCTGGTCGCCAGCTAGACAGCTCTTCATTTTTTCATTATATCTCCCTGCGCAGGAATCTGTATCACCTTTTCTGCACGTAATCTAAGCCTGAATACTTGAATGGCTTTCCGGGCTTCCAGTCAGTCTTCTGGAAAGCGACATTATTAGTTACATCGGCTGTGCCCTTCGCAATTCGTAAATGCGGGAGTCCGCCGCCACCTTCCATAGCTGTCTCCGGAAGCTCGTTATCCAGAACTTCTTCCGTATCTCGCCTGTCATGGCATCCTGGTTCTGATGCCCCATCTTATAATATGAGACAGTATAATAGGGCACCGGGCATTTTACGGCACACATGCAGCGGCGTCGACACTCAAAATGCTGTCGTTGGCTGCCTTCTTTTGGGATGCTTCCCCTTTTTGTCTTTCTTCTCTCCGGAAAACGCTTCACTTTGCGCCCGCCGGATCAGTACGCGCTCCACCTCACTGTCACTCTTCAGGCTGCGACATCATCGGGTAAATCTTAGGACCCAAGCTGTGGTCCTTACCAGCTGTGGTTGTAGTTTGAATAACTGCGGCTATTCGATGAACTATTCGGGAAATTCTCTTCTGGTTCTCGTAGGTACGTCGGTCTGCATAACAATTGTGACCCTTGACTTAGGCCACCATGATGTTGCGGCCCGTCGGCGCTTCGCATCGGGGCACATTTCGTTTTGGAACAATCTAAATACTCCTGCGCATCGTCGTTTGCATAGGGGGCCCACCAATACGCCGTCGCAGCGAATGCCGACTGGCAGTCCATGAAGACGTGGAGCTTATTTGTTCGTACTTGTCCAGTACCAAAGAAGTAGCGTGGAAACCGGAACTCTCTCACATGGTTCATCTCTTGCCGCCAGCTCTCGCCTGGTGACGGCACATCTCAGGTGACTCCTCTCCGCTTGATCTCGCATCAGTAGCTTGGCTACCATCATGTAGTTGCTCTCGGATCAAACGTGAATATCACACCGTTGCGCTTAAGAAACTCTCTCTGGACGCGTTCCGCGGGCATTACGCTGCTGGAAACACTGAATGAATCTTTGACGCTGAATCTGAAGTCATCTGTGGACGGATGCCAATACATGCCCAATACTTTTTGCTCGATGTACTCGTTGGTGCTTGGCGGCTTTAAGGCCCTTGCGAAACAAGCACTTGAATGTATTTCTTTTACCCGTTTTAAAAGGGCAAAAGCTTTATTCTGGTCTGTGAAGCTGTCTACGTAATCGTCCACATAGAACGCTTTTTCTGGCTTTTACGGTATTCACTTGCTGTACTGAGCATGGCGATCAGGGTACTCCAAGCGTTACTCTCCTTTTTTTATGTAGTTCGTGGCTACTGCCGTCAATCATCTGCATTCGCCAAGCTGGCTGGTGTGCCAGATTCTATAGATGTGGTTCTTGTAGATGCGGTGGCCTCGTCGGAATGTCGCAAGTTTAGCTGTGTACGTGCGCTTTCAAAATGCCGTTAGAGCTCCAACTTAAAGTATGCAAATTAAAGAAATGACGCCAACCCTAGGACATAAGCGTATTCTGTTGGGGAAATAGATCTTAGAATTAACCTCACTTAATTAATTCATCTCCGCAGTATCTCTTTCCTCTTTCTCTGGGATCGCTGATCAAAGAGCCTGACGCGCCATACTTAATGTAGCTTTAGATTAGTGGTGGGCAATACCCGTACATCCAAGTAATTAATGAACGCAAAAGCAGCGCAGTAAGCAGAGAAAACCGAAATGAACAATCCGTTCACTGAGAAAAAAAACTTTATATTATTTTAATTTTTTTTGGATTTACCTGCTATAACGGAAAGTTAATGTATCATTATTTATAACATTCTTATAGGCCAAAAAAATTTAAAAATTTTGTCGCTTTTAGTTCCAAAAGCTTTGCTGAGCAATATTTTCTTTTTATTTCTAAAAAGGTTTTATGACGAACTATAATGCCTTCTTATAAAAAGTAATTTTTTTCTGAATTAAAAATATTACAAAATAAAAAGCAACAATACCCAAACAAATTAGGCATTGTTCTTCGCCATCCATATTTTCAATAAAAAAAATATTCTTCCTCCCAAAGTTCAAAAAGTCTTTCTTCAAAGAAGTCTGAGTTGCGACTCAATTAATTTTTCGTTCTCTCATTCGCTACGCGTGTTGAGAGTAGGAAATTCAGAGTTTCCCCATCACTGCATTAGACTGTAATCACAATCGCACAATAAATATGAATATAAACTAAACGTAATTTAAATAAAAAAAGTTTTTGCTTTTTTATTTGTAAAACATATCTTCTTTCAAATTTCTTGTTTTATTTCTGAGATCTTATTTTGGTCAGAAAAAAGTGGTAAAATTTGACCATAGTGAGCTGTGAAGATAGGCGTAACGTACACATTTACATACTCACATGACGCACATGACATCAGCATTAATAAAGTTGTGTAAGAAAACGAGTTGGAAAAGTCAAAACAGTAGGAAGGCAGGCAAAGATTAGCATTCCAATTTAGTCCTCTAAAACAAAAAATCAAAAAGTGTTATGTACAGATTCGATGTGATCTCTGTGTACTCTATATTGAGGTCACCACGGTACATGAGTACCATCAATGGTACCACTCAAGTGAACTCGTCCCACCCACAAAAGAAAATATTTTGATACCAAACTATTTACACACTTTTTGCCTATAAATCAAAATTCAAATATTTATAGACTTTTTATTCACCTTCCTACCTTTGATAGACCTTCCTACTGTATTGCATCAGTTGTTGTTTTCAAATTACATAAGTAAGTATGCAACACATACAGGGTGACAATAAATAACCCGGACAAACTTTTTTGATCATAACTTCTTAAGGAACTGTATTTGAGAAAAAATACAGATACACAACTATTAAATAGGTATTGTGTTAATATGTATTCAGCCGGTTTCGAAGTGGCTTCCTTGGGCTGCGATGCAGAGCCCTAAACGTTTCTGAAAATTTTGCGCAATGGGCCGCAGGTCTTCTTCCGATAATCGATCCCGTTCTCGGAGCAATGATTGCTTCAGCGCCTCCAAACTTATGTGGCGTTAAGCACATGCCCTGGACTCCAAAATAGACCACACACTCTAGTCCATCGGATTAAGATCTGGCGAGTAAGGTGACCATTCACAGCATGTGATAAAGTCCGGGAAATTGGCTTTGAACCAGTCCTGAGTCAATTTGGCTCTATGGGCTGACGCTGAATCCTGTTGAAACGTCCACTCCATATCACCGAAGTGCTGCTGGGCCCAAGGAAGCACAACAGTTTCCAAAATGTCCCGGCGGTACACTTCCTGATTGATTTTGACCCCTTGATCGATGAAAACAAGGGGTGTTTTGCCGGTGGCGCATATTCCTCCCTAAACCATTAAAGACTGCTCACATTGACGGCGCTCGATTATTGCAGAGGTACCTGAAGCTTTAGCAGACCAGCTTCTGTCATTTTGGTGATTGTGCGCCTTTTGGATGGTGAATATCTTCTCGTCCGTGAAAAGAATACGCTCCCATTTTTGACCTGCGGCCCGACGCTTTAGCTGACGGCATCTTTGGAGTCTCACGCGCTTATTGTCATCCGTAAGAAGATGCATTTTTTGGAGCTTGTAGGGCTTGAGATTAAGTTCATTTTTTGCTATCAACCGAACACTTTCTTGATTCACACCGATTTCACGGGCTATTTTTCTGACCGAGACTCTGCAATTGCGAGTG